TTGGGCACACACGCACACGCGCCCGGCGTGAGTTTTAAGCCACCGGGTCCGGGACACGAACCGCGGTCGACTACGTGGGAGTCCAGCGACATAGCCATTACGCTAACTGCTGGTTCCCTCTATTTACTTCTTAAAGGAAACTTAAAAGTATGTTGGTATGCCACATTCACATTTAAATCACTTGGTGTACCAGTATTTACAAATTCACTATTGGAAGTCTCCGGGGACAAAATGCAAATAATGCATATCGAATAAACAATACTATTTTCATATCACTGGAAGTATATATTTATCCTCCCAGAGCAGTCATCTTTCAAGCAGCACATTACTTCCTTTAGGCAAATGGACCATTCCTGGGTTAATCTAAATGCAATAACATGAAACTTGGCTGACCCAGATTTCTTCAATATCAGTATGCATGCAATTACAGTATCCCGCACATTGGAAAATACCTAAGGCTCTCAAAAATACACATTTTATCTTTTTTTTTTTTCATTTAAAATGATGCACAATGGACATTAAAATAAAATAAATAAAAGTTATAGTCAATGGAGGCTGATAGCAACCAAATACTATGTAGGTATATAAGGTATGTACAGTGTAACTTAGTTTTCTCTAAATTCTAGCTTTGTTCTGTCTCTTTCACAATGATAAGGATTGCAAGTACTCTCCTACTGAAGTTATTAATGATTTCTGTTAAGAATCATATGATATTGGGACTAGCAGTTAGCATAATGGATATGTCGCTGGATTCCCATGTAGCCGACCACTGTTCGAGTCCCGGACCCGGTGGCTTAAACTCATGCTGGCCACATGTCCATGCGTGCCCAAGATCCCAAGAAGAGAATGGAGGAGAAGGAATTGTGGTGTAGCCATCCCCCTTGGGGGTGATTTCTCGCTTTCTGTCTCTCTGTCTCTCTCTATCTTTCTGGCGAGTGTACGCACCCTATAGCAAAAACCTCTCCAAAAAAATAAAGAATTATACGATATTAAAAGATCAGTCTTAAATTCTCCGTAGTCTATTTTTCAAATTATTCTGTTTTCAAGAGGCTAAGCACAGTTCTCACATTCTCTAAAGTGTGTGTATAAACACATTTGCAAATAGATGCACACATCTAAAATGTTTTTCTCTCACTAGCCAGTAAAAAGCAAAGTATAACAAAATATTAAAAAACCCCTCCATGTATACCACTGTTCAGATTAACTATGGAAGCACTTAAATTCCAAGGCCCCCTCAGAACTGGTGGCCAGATGGATATAGTTAGGTTATACTGGACAGTTGTGTAGACTGCGAGCTGTCCAACTCTTGTGGCTGCAATCACACCCAGATCTATGTGACAGTACTCTGTGGGGACATGCGCTCTACAATGTGTATTTAGCTACACGTGATGACCTTGGAGTTAGCTAAGTTAATTCTGTTTGCTCATCCATCACATAACCATGCTTCCTTCCCTCCAGTGAGCTATAAAGGAGAAAAGTTTGGGAAGGGAAGTGATCTTTACATCTAAATACGTTTGTTTTTCAACAAAGCAAGTTCGGCAAAACCAACAATAACAAATTCGCCCTGGATCCATTTGATGACGGTAAGGCTTTCTCTCCACCCCCCTCCCCTCCCACGCACCCACTAGGACGCGCAGGGATACCTTGTGTGAGTAACTGTAGGTTTCTGACTTCTTCGCGCACCTTCAGCTGGAGCACCTGTTGTAGAATGTGCTGCCGGAGGTTCTCCTGGGCAATCCCCATTCGCTCAAGCTTTTTGTCCGTGAGTCTCAGCAGGGCTCGCCCTGCAGGGTTTTAAGAAATCAAAAGAAAAGCAAATGAACAATTTGCTGGAGAAAGATTCCCATTTTTAGTTCTGGGCTAAACTTGCCATAACAGAAGTTTCCATCTAAACACAGACAGTTATAGGGCCCTCCCTTAGCCAGGCTGACAGAAAGAGAAATTTGCATAAAGAAAATCCACAAAAAAGAGCCCAAATTTGAATCTAATACTGGCAAAGTCCAACTGACCCACACATTGAGGTAGATCAGACAGCAAAAATTTAACCTGGATATCTGGGTTACGAACTGTTTGGTTTCTATAGAAACCAAGCTCTCTACTGGGGGACGGCTTCCTCTAGTCCCTCACTGGCATCCAGCTGGAGAACTGGATGCTGTCATTGTGGCTCAACATTTAACCCAGGACCCAACAATGTGTTTGTGAATCTTTGGGCATCCCACTCTGTGACTGCACCCCCCGACGCTGGGGTCCTGAGAAAGCAAGGAAAGTTCAAAAGCAGACTCGCATAGTCCCATGCCAGCCATGCAGCCAGAATAAGGCCCCTGAAGATGTGCACAGTCTCATCTCTTAACTTCTGGATTTGTTAACATGACCCAACTCATGAATTTGTCACCTTCCCATTGCAAAAAAGGACTTTGCCAATATGACTAAGGTAAGAATCTTGAGAGGGGAGGGTAGTTTATATTATATAGGAGGATCCAATTTAATTACCCACATCCTTTTTGGCGAGAAAAAGAGACAGAAAAGCCAGAGAGACAGTGGAAGCAGAAGTCAGAGTAGTGGCCAGGCACCAAGAAATTTAGGTGACCTCTAGAAGCTGGAAAAGACAAGGAAACTGGTTTTCTCCCATACCTTCCAGGAAGGCAGCTCTACCAACACCTTGACTTTTAGCCCCAGGAAGCCCATTTTGGAATTCTGATCCCTACACCTATAAAATAAACTGGTGGTGTGTTAAGCCGCTACATTTGTAGTAACTTGTAACAGCAGTGATTGGCTTTATAACTGGAGTATATATGTTTTAAGTCAAATAAACGACTTTAGATTTCTTTTCCTTCCCCAGCTTCTGAGAAATGGCATACGCAGAGGCAGAGAGCATACCTAAGGTATGCTGAGCCCAGGTTCCAGGACTCCAGGACAGCCCTCTACCAATGTTCTGCTCACTGTTAAACCTCGGCCCTGAAGTTTCAATCCACAAAGAATAGGGTTTGGATAAAAATTATGTGGAGAATTGGCCTCCAAGTTACAGATACGTAGCTCTTTGCGCATACCATGACATTTAAGATCCTGTATAAAAGACTCCAAGGTTCGGAAGACACAGATCCTTCCTAATACTAAAATGTAGATCAGCCTTCTGCCTTTCTGTTCCTAATTACTGGGGATATGGTTTCACAAATTGTGACTTATGAGAGCTACTCTGTGTTGGTAAGACACAAGGTAGCTTTATTCTTGGGAAATTGGCTTGTCCACTGCTAGAATACAGTGTTAAAGTCAGAGTGAGGGTTTTCTTTCAGTACAAGCAGCTCAATTTTCTTTGCTATCTCCCTGGGAACTTGTAATCACATTCTTTCCATACATGCATATGTCTGGTGAAAGCATGGACAGACAAGCCCAACCAGAATGTTCTTTCCAATTGTATCAGGTTTAGAATATGAGTTATAAAACTCGTAGTTACATGAGTTTGTGTGTTTACTGACTGGGATACAAATAATCATGTCTGTAAACCTTTCTCATATTAAATGCCCAGCTGTTAAAATTGTATTATTCAAATCCTGAGAATGCAGATTTTTATTATTTTCACTTTTTAGAAAGGAAATGGAAAGTTAAAGAATATTTAAAAGCCTGGGAACCAGCAGTTAGCGTAATGGCTATGTCGCTGGATTCCCACATAGTCGACTGCAGTTTGTGTCCCGGACCCGGTGGCTTAAAAAACTCACACCGGGCGCGTGTGCGTGCGTGCCCGAGATCCCGAGAGGAGAATGGAGGAGAGGGGATTGCGGCGTGACCATCCCCCCTGGGGGGTGATTTCTCGCTTTCTGTCTCTATGTCTCTCTCTGTCTGTCTGGCGAGCACACGTGCCCTATAGCAAAAACTTCTCCAAAAAAAAAAAAGAATAAAAAAAAAGAATATTTAAAACTTGAGAACTTTTCCTAATTCTTCCCACTATACCTTCAGTTGTGCTTTATCTTCTTCGGTAGGTATATAAAAGCTTAGACTTCAGGAAGAAAGATTAAGAGTAAAGTGTACACAAGTATTTCCTGATAAAACCACTTCTAGAAGAAAATCATGATTTGCACACCAATGGTCTTATAAACAAAATCTGACCCCACTGCTTTCTTCAGATAGCTTCTATAGCAACATCCAGGTCAGTGGTTCTGAAAACTTTTTGGATTTTTCCAAATTATCTAATATTTTGGATTATCCAAAATAATTGGATAATTCCCAAGAGTAAACATCCCATCGATCTCCTATCCAACCACATCTGCTAACCATGAAATAAAACAATGTCCAAATATCCTTAACTGAATCCCATCTGCAAAGACCTTTTTTCCTCATAAAGTAACATTTATAGGTTCCAGGAACTAGGACCTGATTATTTTTCTTTTTTTTGGTGGTTATTATTCTACCTACAACAAGATTTGGAAGGTACTGTTGAGACTCCTGAGTATGGCACGGGAATGCTGTGTTCCCCTGGAGAAGTGAGGCCCTCAGAAGGCGGCTTGACTAAAACTACACTGGAGATACGGCCAAGACTTGGGTCCAGACAGGTGTCTTTGACCTTCAAGCTCAGTTTGGGCCTTGTCACTATTTCAGGTGACCTCCACGTTCTGCTTGGAGTACTGTACCAGGATCCTAGCCACTGCTTCACAAGGTAAACGACTGCATGCCACAGAACACAATGGGAAACAACAGGGTAAGACGGAGGTGGGCACAGAATGGCTCTAACCCCACTCTCTTGGGAAGCCTCGTGCCGCTTAAGGGTTAAGGAGGTGCCACTTTCCCCCCAAAATATAATGGCTTACAAGGCCTCTTTTCTGCTAGAAATGGAAATCACTGGAGAGTCCCGCAAACAAATGGCCATTGCACTGGGTCAGTTCTGCCTGTGCTCGCAGTCGAAGCCTGCATCATGCCCCAAGGAGATGTTCGTGGCCCGATTGGGCTGCAGAGTAACAGGCACTGGGCAGAAGACTAGTCCCACCACCTAAATCGGCTCTTCTTCAATCACACCATTACTCCAAAATCAGAATTTTTGGGATGAATAAACAGGGAGAGAGGCAAAAGCACAAAAGCTTGGGATCATGCGCTAACCAGTATAGAAAAGTGTATAGGAAAGCACAATCTGAGTCTTCCTCATCTCTATAATGCAGATGGAGAGCATACGATTTCATAGCATGACTGCAAGGATCAAATGGAATCACATATACACGTGAACTTTGCAGCTGGGACTCACTATGGTGCTACAATTGGGGTACTACAATGTCTAGCCTGGTCACTATTTCTTCATACTCCTTTCTCATCCTAACCGTGAAAATAATGCCAAACATCACTAAGTGTTCAACACTGTCCTAAGAGCTTTACATGGACTAACTCTTTTTTTTTTTTTTTTTTGACAATTCCCTGGGGCATGGTTACTATCTCTAACTGATAAAAGGCTGTAAGAACGGCTGGAAGTCATATACCTAATAAGCTACAGAGTTGGAAGACTTTATTGAATACATATATAATATGTATGTGTGTGTGTGTTTGTGTGTATGTGTGTATGTATATGTATATATCTCCCCTAAACTGTCAGCCATAGACATTATGTACTTTCTAAGTCTAAATTTGACAATTGCTGCTTAGGAAGCTGCACTCAGGGACAGGAGAGAGCTGCAGGGAGGCAGGGAAAAGCCGTCACCTCTGAAGACTTACAGGCAAGCAGTGGGAATAGTGGCATAATGTCACTACACACCAGGTGTGATGGCCTTCACTCTATCAAGAATGACAGCAAACAAATTTCTGAGAGCAGCTCTTATGCAGCTTTACCCCCTCCTCTGTCAAGGCCTGTCTATGTAGCAGGGACTTAACTTACCATACTTCCCAGGAACTGGGAAGATAGAGATGAATACCATAACTTCCCTTCCAGACACACAAGGTAGGGTCTCTGAGAGCCATAAAGCAGTTCTTTTTGGAGGGACTTTGAATAAAAACAAAATTAGAGTAGGAAGGAGAATGACATTCAAGGCACCGAAAGTAGGCAGACGTGGACATGAGAACTGGAAAGGGGTATTGGAGCGCTCCATGAACCTGTGCATTGTTGGGTGTGTGCTTGAGGCAGGAAGCAGCTCACGCAGGTTCTCATATACCATTTCAGGATGCTTGGCCTCTCACGTAGAGACAAACTGGTCTTACCCAGCCTTTTATGTTTTATCTCCCACCTCAAAGTAGTCTATGTGAGACACAGGAGATGATCTTCACATTGTGAAATACTCCCACTGTAGAACTGATTATGAACATCTCATTTTTGCTTGGACGGCATCCCTGCCCATTTCTGTCTTGGTAGATGTTCCTCCTCACCTGGTGGGCTTTTCATAATTAAAAAAAAAATCCCCCGTAGCACGTTTTGTTTTTAAAGTATTATATAATTTTCTTATTATGTTTATTTTGTGTTTCCTGACTCTCACACCCTGCCATAACATAACCTCTATGGAGCGGGGTTTCATTGACATCATTGATGTTTTCTGGCACCTGACTCAATGGAAGCACTAAATAAACATTTGTTCAACAAATGCTGGGTGTGTGACCCAGGCAGAATAAATGAAAGTTCTTCACTGGAATTGCTTTTGCTGCTAAAGAGAAAGATTCCCCCCCCCTTTTTTTTTTTCCCCTTAGACCATGTCCCAAGAAACAATATAATGCTAGACTTGCTAGTAGTGGCTGTCTTTGTCACCACATGGAGAAAATTGTCCAGAGAATTAGGCCACCAAAAGAGCAGAACTAAGAAAGAGAATAGTGGAGCAAGAGCAGG